TATAGAAATAAAATAAAAAAAGTAAAATATTATTAATTTCTAATTAACTAAATAAAAATGAAGTAAATAAAGCAATTTATACAAATTTTATATGATAAAAGAAATTTCGTTTGCATTTTTATTATGAACAAATTCTAATTATAGTTAATTTATTTAATTTTCGAGCATTAAAACATAATTATAATCATAATAAAAAATTTTAAATGCATATAAAATACTCATAATTATGAGAATATTTTATTTATATCATTTCATAATGCGTCTATAAGAGAATATAACCGCAATTATATGAAATCATTTATATCAGGTGTTCACGATCTAGTCACCATCGACCCCCAAGGGATCAATCGATTTATCTACAAGATCGATATATTTTTAGGGGTCATTTGGGAGTTAGTGAACAAATTTATTTTTCATATATTTAAAAATATAATAAAAATATATTATATTTAAAAATTTGATTAGAATAAAAATACACAAATTTTAATTTATGTTTAATTTAGTAGTCAATAAATTAAATTTAATTTCGACAAGGGTTTGAGCCCTGATTACGTATCAATTCTTTATTTATCTAATTTATGATGTATTTAAACAATACAAGAAATTTCCATATTTATAAAATAAATAAATTTCAATATATAAAAGAATAAATATTAAATAAATTAATATCAATTTTCAATACTTAAAAAAATTCGTGCATTATGGATTAGATTATGGATTTAGGAGACAGATTTTTTTGAAGTAATTATAAAGAGTGGTATATAAATGATTATCATTGATAAGAGAAAGAAGAAGAAGGAAAAAAAAAGGAAACACATTCAAAAATCTTTTAATTCTTAGCTAGGTTGAAAGATGAGAATGGACTAGTAAGAATGAACCGTCACCTGTCATTTGATGTGACAGGTAATAAGTGTCATCGTCATGATAAAATTTGGAGCGAGTGATTGGCCAATCCATCACCAAATAGAATTAGATGTTTGGAAACGTCAGAAACTATAAATCCTTTTCTAATATTCAAGACATCTTAATCTTCTTGAATAGTAGTAGTGACTAACGTAAAACCACTTTCTGATTTGAATTCTCATAAATATATGGCACACTTTATAAAATCAACTGGAAGAGAGTGGGGGGGGATTGAACAGATTTTCGAATTTGACAAAGTGATACTTTAAAGCTAAAGAGCTTAAGAAAAATTCAATTAAATGTAAAATAATGATTGCTTTATTACAATATTATTACAATCTTTTAAAAATGATTTCGAAATTATTATAATTTTTGAAAAATTATTATTGTAATCAGTCGAAATTTTAATAATGAAAGCATCAATTTTTATATCATTAATCTAATCGTCTGAATATTGTTATGATTTATGAATTTTTCTTTTCTTCTTTAAACCCGGACTTCGATCGGAATTTTGGCAATATTTTTTAATGATTTAAATCAAATTTATGCTTGTAGGATTTAGTGTATAAGTGTAAAAGATGTGAACATTTATATAAACATTTATTAAATATGCATCGCTTATGAGAATTTATAATATATTTTTCTTTTTCTCTTCCAAAGAGAGAGAGAGANGAATATTTTGAACTAACGCGAATTTCCTGTATTTACTAAATTTCTTTCTTAATAAATTTACTGAACTTTAGAAAATAATGATAAACTGAAAAAAAATCAGAAATTGTTTTATTACGCAATCAAAATTATTAAAATAAAAAATAATAAATACGGTAGCCTAAATTAATTATCCTATAAAACAAGGTTGATAATCGCTAGAACTCTTCCAAATTTACGTATCGTTAAATTTTAAATATCCATCATGCTATTTTCGTATTAAATTATCAAAATTGGAAATTATGACATGCAACTTCAGTGTTAGCATAATTTATGAAGTCGTGTGATTACTAGCAATAAATTGCCGAATCTGACGTAGATAAAGTATACGAAGAGAGAGTTAAACCAACAAAAATAAGAATTAAAAAAAAACTATACTCAATTTTGTTGCTGAGGAATCAGGTGCTGCATAAATATTACATTGACCATGCACACGATAAAATCTTTAAGAGTCATTTACGCAGAACCGTGGTTAGTCAGAACTATAAATAATAATAACTAACGTCATAGAACATGCGAATGCTTTAGTGTGACGATCAATCAGTGTTATTAATCCATATGTTCGTTTAAGAAGTTAATGTTTGTAAAATTAAAGAGAAAACAAAATGATTTTGTGAATATGTCATAGTAGATGAATGTTATTGTAGATATCTAGTTGACAGAATCCTATATGATACCCAATAGTACCCAGGTCGATCGTTTTCTATCATTCGATGGGGCAACTACTAAAAAGTTTCAGATAGAAAGAATATTACAACCTATCATAAAGCAGGTAGTATTATACTCGAGAGAATTTACTGAACGCATTCTCTCTTGCATTATTACAGGAAAAAAAGACAGTTTGATGTAAAAGTTCAATTCTTAGAAAATCAAAAGATTTTTTAAAATGTTATAAAATTTAATAATTTTAAAGGAAACGTTTTTGAAGTTTACATTTATAAATATTTAAAAAATTTTGTTTTAAGGATTGAAAACCTCAAGAAAAATTAATAATGTGTATGTGTGATTATAATGGATACGATATAGTTTAATAATCATTCTAAACAGCTAAATTACTGCGGTATTCTATGAATAAGATATCACACAATTCATCAATATTATAATAATCATGCGAAAAGTATGGAAATCTATAAGCTTCAAGATCATAAACTTTATAATTATGATAAATTACTTAATGCTTTGTTTTAATCTGTGGAAATTATATTAATAATTTATATAGAATCTATAAACNAGGAAAAATAAGTTGGTATATTACTACATCTTTTATATATATGTACATTGATCGATTTTTGTCTACGAATGTTCTTTCTTAAACGAAAATCCATTAAAGAGTTGTCATGGCTGCTACATCTGGGGAACATCATCGTCTCGTTTTGCTCTACTCCTTCCCTTCGAGGCACTTCCAATTCTGTATATCGTATGAACATTGTTATTCAAAACTTTTTGCGTATCGTCTGTCTTTTACTTTGCTTGAAGTGCTTTGAACCGAGCTGAATGTTCTTACAATAACCTCTTCCCCCTCCAAAAAGTTTCCTCGTGAGAACTTAAATGCAGAGAAATGCCTTTTTTAAAGCTTTATACGTATATATTTCTATATATGAAAAGTTTTCTTGTTAGTAATACCGGTTATAACTTTATAGGTAATGTACTATAAAAAATATAACCGTAAAATTCGATCAAATCTGTACGCAGAATGATGCTATAACGTATGATGATAAGTAATCTAATTAAATTAAAATTTTCAAAGGAAAATAATATTTAAAAAGAAAAAAAAAACAGATAAAAATTAAATATAAAAAAAATTTTCATTTTTATAATGAAATTTAAACAACATTAACTAATAAACTTAAACGTGACATGTTATAAAATTAACTTCTACATTTATTAAATAAATAAAATTTAATAATTTTAAAGGAAACGTTTTTGAAGTTTACATTTATAAATATTTAAAAAATTTTGTTTTAAGGATTGAAAACCTCAAGAAAAATTAATAATGTGTATGTGTGATTATAATGGATACGATATAGTTTAATAATCATTCTAAACAGCTAAATTACTGCGGTATTCTATGAATAAGATATCACACAATTCATCAATATTATAATAATCATGCGAAAAGTATGGAAATCTATAAGCTTCGAGANAAAAAAAAAATTTTCATTTTTATAATGAAATTTAAACAACATTAACTAATAAACTTAAACGTGACATGTTATAAAATTAACTTCTACATTTATTAAATAAATAAAATTTAATAATTTTAAAGGAAACGTTTTTGAAGTTTACATTTATAAATATTTAAAAAATTTTGTTTTAAGGATTGAAAACCTCAAGAAAAATTAATAATGTGTATGTGTGATTATAATGGATACGATATAGTTTAATAATCATTCTAAACAGCTAAATTACTGCGGTATTCTATGAATAAGATATCACACAATTCATCAATATTATAATAATCATGCGAAAAGTATGGAAATCTATAAGCTTCAAGATCATAAACTTTATAATTATGATAAATTACTTAATGCTTTGTTTTAATCTGTGGAAATTATATTAATAATTTATATAGAATCTATAAACAAGAAACATAATAATATATTTTAATTTAGGATATTATATCGCTTTAAAATTAAAAATAATAAGAATTTATATTTATTTTAAATAAGAAATTGTTTTACTATTGATAAATAATAGTTTCCAAATTAAAATTTTTAATTTTATAAATTTGAAAATTGTCAGATTGTATTACAGACATCTTTATTATTTTTAATATATAAATTTTAAGTGTATAGACTTTTATTTTCTAGAAAAATAATGAAAATGTATCTTCAAAAAATGGGGGATATAAAAATGAAAAAAAAAGAAATAAACTTACGCTGAACATCCAACTTCAGTTCGTTTTCAAGAGTGCTATTGGGAAGAGTAGGATGGTCAGCTCGACAGAGGAGATATTTTCCGTTATCTTCGGCAGATGGTACAAAAGTCACTTTGCTTCTAGTTCTGACGTCATCTTGCAAAATATCTTCTTCCAACGTCTGCACTTGTTTCCCGTCTTTCCAGAAACTAAGAGTTGCCGGAGGACGAGATCCAGTAGTTTCACATACAAGACTTCCTTCCTTACCAGCTGCCAACGGATTCACACCAGTAAAGTAAACGTCTAGAGGTTTAACTGAGTAGAAAAATGAAATATGCCCTTCAGCAAACGAAATTTAGATTAGGGAAAAAAACTTTAAAAAAATATAATTTTCTATAATAATGTTACGTTATACTTTTTTATATTGTGCCAATTGCATGTATGCTTTTAAATACTATGTTCGTGTAATATAACTTGCTCGAGTATTAAATGTATTGCTTGTGTTATATATGATATACATTCTAAACAATACCTATCATACCTTCATCACACTATATCCATCTGTTTGCCATAAATCATTATAATTGGCAATATCTATTCAAACTATGTATAAGATTATATATCAGTCTAATGTCTTGCTATATTAAAAAATTAGCCTTAAAAAATAAAATTGCATATTTAGTTAAATATCCATGCAGCATATAATTATTGCATATCGTAGTATCAAAGAGAATATTGCTGTGTCAGGATACATCAAAACCGGATGGGATTTAGAATGTAATTCTAAAGATCAGTCACCCATAAGTATCAGAGATATGATCAATAGAGTTGAAATCTGGAGGATTCGCTGCTGTAGTGTATTTCTGAATTGTGTCAAACAACAGGATTTCGAAGAATAAGGACATTATCATCCCGTGGAATAAATGTTATTTGATTTTTACCTATCAAAACTACAATAGTCTTCAAGATAACTTGCTTTACTGGTTAGCAATTATGGATTTTTCTAAAGACGGATCTAGATATTATGTAATAAAGCTCATGAAGAGATTGAGGCAATAAAAATCTTTTATAATAATATAAGAAGAATTGCGATATATTTTTATGATCATCAGAACTGAAGTCTAAAATGTGTATCAATTTCTTTTCAGTTCAAAAGATTATTTTTTATATCTATTTTGATTTTGAAAGCGAATGATGAGATCCAACTATAAGATTTCGAGAAAAAATCAAAGGAACTATCATAATTGTATATTTTAAAAGATTAAAACAATTTACATATCCATTTTTTTTAATTTTCCTAACTTTATTTTTCATATAATCTACTTATAACTTCAGTTTTGTGACGTACTTAAAGCCTGATTACTTTAATTTGACACATGATTTGCAAAGATTTAACAATGCAAAATAATTTAAAGCATTATAATATTCTTCTTAAAGAAAGAACATAGGATAAATGTATGCAAAACTTTAAACATTTTACAAACCTAGTACCACGAGGAACATATTTTAAGCATACAACATGTTAATATTTATACTTTTCATCTCTTTACCATGCAACATTTCTCGAAAAATATAACATAAATCTTTCAAACTTTTTTATTTTTTATATTTAATTTCTTACTTTTTATATAATTTCATTTCTATTCTCATCTCGTTCAAAATTATTAAATGTTCATAAAGTGTTAATAGTTAACAAACTGTATTGCTAGGATTTCATACCATGCTATGCTACGTTGCATTTCTCAGATATTATCTCGTTGATGAGGTGACTTTAATTCGATGTTTCTGCATTCAAATGTTCAATACACCATTAGTTTACAATATAAACAAATTAATTATTGGAATTTTAATTTAATACAATGATTCGTATATAAATTTGCCTTCTGTATAAATTACAAAGTATAAAAAAAAATGTTAACAATTACCTAAAACAAACTTTGTGTTAACTTGAATTAAGTATGATTAATTAATATGACCTGACAGATCATATGATGCATTATGATAAATTTATAATTATGAATAATAATTTTCAAGTTTTGATATCAATTTTAAACTTTAATATTAACAAACATTCACTTTAAAATCAACTTCGTAAGACATATTATGCTTATTTTTTAAATATTTTCAGAGAAATATTTCTCATTTAAACCACATTTTAACTTAATTAATTAATTTACATTAAAATAATTCATTCGTAAGTAAGATTTGTTTGTAATTTTACTGATATTTTTAAGAATATTTTAAAATTTTATTACTTAAAAAAATTTTAATGAATTAATTAAAATTTTTCTATAAGAAAAATTATTTTATTTTAACTGTAAATTTTGCTTAATTGAATATACAGAAAGTAAATTTAAAATTTAATTTTATTAAAATAAACAAAAGTGTATTCATATATTTTTCAGTAATAGAAATGAATTTTATACATTTACTAAATGAACAATATACTTTATAATTATTTTAATTTATTTATTCAGCATAGAAATATAAGAATTTTTAAGAAGAATGTTTATTTTAATCTACTTAGTTCAACGATGCATAAATCAATAATTTTATTTATATAATAATTAAAATGAAATTCATTCAAGAGTGCAATATTCATATCAAGATAAAATCAACATTAAGGATAATTATTTCAACGAAATTTATCTTTTAAATATTTTATAAAAATCATTTCGTTACGAAATAATTAAAATATGCATTATTAAATGAATTGGTTTAGTTAAAAATTAATTATCGGGCTGCAATTTAAAATAAAAATTGTAGACCTATAAACTGCCACTATCGTCTGTCTGTTTGTCTGTCTTTAGTCTCGGGAATCGTGATAGATACTGGCATGACTCTACTGCTAATAGGAAAAGTATGATGTACAGGGGCAAGACGACACTAATTTGAGGTGGAGAGCGTATATTTTAAATTAAATATGATTAAAAATTGTAGCTCGGCAATAAATAATTACTCGTTTTTTTTATTAATTTTAATTACCACAATAATATTTTATATACGGTTTATTTTTTAAAATCCAATTTTAATAAAAATAATTTCCGATACAAAATAATCGGAAATGTATTTAATTATTGATTTTTAAATATAATTAAGTAGTAAAAATAACGAATTAAATTGATTTTTATTTGTAATTTTCGAATTAATCCTAAAATAATGATTTTTCTATTCATTATTTTGGGATCAGATTATTTTTAATGAATTCTTCCTTATATAATTTAATAAAAAATATATGTATATAATTATTATTCATTTAATTTTCTTAATTATATTACTTAGAATTATTTATATAAAAATTAATGATACACTTAAAAATTATTATGTAGCTATAAATAGAATAATCGATACTTTTGGACTGTTTATAAGTAATTTTAAATTGCTTACAAATAGTTAAAATGTTATATTTAAATCGTTAAAGTTTAGAAAAGTTGTAAGGAAGATCTCAAAAATTAACTCTCCTTTGCTTGAATATTACTGAAATTTTAGCAGTAAAGTAAAATATGCATAGCGATATGTTTAGTGCTGTTATAAAAACAACATAACTGTTCTTTAAGTTCCTACAGCCACTTCAGTTTTTAACTACCTTCTTCCGTTTCATATAGCTTATTGTGTCGTCATACTGTTTATGACTTCATGCCTGCTGCTACATTTAACTCTATACTAACTTTGTCATGTGGGTCGCCTGCAATTGTCTATTTTTTCTCATTTTTTATTCCCTTCTACTTTAACTTTCGCTTCGGGCCAAACCAAGGAAAAGAAAGCAAAAATGGTAATATACTGGAAAAAATATCTTATATATATATATAATATTCTTTGCAGTATTTTTATTATTTTTTACAGTCTTCATAAGCCATAAAACATGTAGGTTATGCTAAAGTATTTCTTTGTTTTTTAAAAATGCTTTAAGATTATTCTCGATGCTAAAGATGTCTTCCTCTATAGGTTTGGATGATTGATGAGGATTTTCATCTGGAAATTGGCTTAGTCATACGAGTTTTGTTTGTTTTTTTTCCATGCAAAGTCGACTTTAGTTATAAAGTTTTCAGTTTTATGGAAGTATATACTAAATTATCATAAGGTGAAATTTTCGGATCATCATCAATTATTGTCGAAAGTTTTATACACTATGAAGGAAGAGAGAAGTTTGATATTGAATATTTTTTATGAATATACAAGGAACGTTTTATGAATATTTTACTAGATAATTTTTCATACAAGTCAGTTTTATAACTAACGTTTTATATCTGATAAGTTATATAGAGGAAATTTGTTATTTGTTCTTTCATTTCTGTCATGTATACATTACCATCAACAATTAAAGAATTTTTAATAGAAGAAATCATTGAAATAATAAATAAAATGAAAATTTTCGAATAAAAAGTTAAACCAACAATAAATTTATTATTAATTTTTAAAGTTTGAAACATTTTTCCTGTATCCCTTTCAATTAAAATTGCTGGTGATGCTGCCATAGCAATAAAATTTCTACTGACTAAAAGAAATTTCGTTTATATTTTATTACATTTAACACATTTCTGTGTGTAATTTATGTTTGGAATTAAGTAAAGTTGCACATTTTGTGAAGTTACAAGGAAATAAAATTATAAAGATTTATTTAAATGGTAGCAATTCAAGAGATTTATCTCTAAGACCAGTCGACACGTTAAAATCGAGGACATAAGCCAGATTTGCTCATAAATGTTGACAGTAGAAGTTTTCTATGGATGTTTCTCACCAAGACGTGAGACATAACATAGAATAGCAATCCGACAACCAACATGTCTTCTGACACAAGTCAATAAATGGTCGCCTATTTTCGTTCGTTTATATGGGGCTTCGGCAACATTGCTTGACATATTGAAGATTTCAGAATGCAAAGTATTAAATAGGCCACGTGTCATCTCCACGTCCTGCTATTTCTTTTTATAGTAAGGAAACCAAACGTTTTTAACTCTTCAACCATCGATTGATGTCATAACTTTATTTATGCAGATTTACGTTTTCTTCAATACATACAATTTTTATTGAAGATTTCTGACGTGTTTGGCTTTGAAAAAAATAAGAATAAAACCAAAATATTTTAATATTATTTAAAATTTTAAATTACAATATTTTCTAACTTATGTTGATCATAAATTGTACTATAAATTATTTTTGAACGTTAATTTTTGCGGAATATTAAAGAGTACATTGAATGGATAATAATCCATTCAACGTGCATTTCCGCATTGAAAGTATTTAAGATCATTAAGACGGAAGTGATTGAAACTATAAAGAGATGATGAATAAGTCTCATTATAATATACTGGTTC